GCTAGGGCATCTTTTCAACTTTTGAAGGATCATGCGGTGGTGTTCTTCAGCATGGCCGTGTTAGTGTGTTAAATTATGCATGAACACTGCCGTAACAGCAAAGAGAGCCGTAACTCTCAAATTTTCAACTTTGAGTTTCCTTCAAAACTCGTCTAATCTCCTTTGGATGAAAGCATCGAAATAGCTAAAGCAGCAAAATGCGTCTTAAGTGTATGAAAACGAGACAAATGAGAAATCCTCATTCTGAGACCAGCGCAACTGACCCACTTGACAGAAAACGGTAGCTTTTTTCAATCAAAGGTTCCGCTCAAACGCCTTTAAAGCCCATTTTCTCCAAATTAATTTTTTTCATTCATGACTCTATTCGCTATCACGGCAGAATAGCCTACCACACTCGAATCAGTGATAAAACCCATAGCTCTGCACTACCCTGCCGAGGAAGAACGCCGTATGAGCCTTCGCACATTGCCATACTTCCTTCGACAAAAAAATTTACTGGGAAACTTTTTGATATTTTTCTTTAATTTGTCTTAAAGAAAATGTTGTTCGCATTGGAGAATTTTCACACAAAAATTGTATTGCTTCATCTGAGAGTGCTTAATAAGCTGAGTTCGCAGTATTTTTCAAAATTTTATCCTGAAATGGGAAATCGGAGAAAAAACGATTTAAAGGTGAGAAAATGAGTATTTTCCATTTAAACAAATGTATTTTCAGAAATTAGGTTATTCCGTCATATTTTCTCCGATAAGTTTTCAAAATAGAAACCAAGGATATCTTCCTGCTCAGTTTTCTTAACAGTTTCATTCTGAACATGAAATTTAAAAAATTTCAGACACCTGCAAATGCTCCATTTAATCTAGGATATTTGAAAATTTAAAGAACAAATCTGCATAATCCTCTCCAAATCCATGTTTCACCCGGGAAAATTCTGCAACTCTTGACTGTTAAAACGGCGTTCTTCCACACCACGACAGCGCACCGAAGTCAACGTGTTTACGCGAGGGGTTGATTATCGCGGCGAGGATCTCGTTAGGGGCGCGACCGGGGATGATTCAGAAGGTAGCAGACCGAGGAGGAAGATAAAGCGCCCGCCCCTCGGAGGTTTCCCGGCGAAGCCACAAGTGAAAGCGACGACTCCCTCACTCAATGGGCCGCTTGTCGCCGTCGCGATGGGAAAAGTCTTCGGGAAGTCGTGAAAAGAAAATTTCCACCCCCGCAACTGCGGAGTCTTTACGAGCGGCGGTGACGGAAGTCATGCGATCGGAGGGGCGGGAGTCCAAGTCAGTGGCGTGGCCTGCTTTGCGATACATCGATTGATGCTATTTAAATCTATGGGAGAGGATCGATTATCAAGGTGTTCGTTGCGAACACCTTGATAATCGATTCTTTACTACAGCTTCAAATGGAGAGTTATCGATAATCGATCCCTTGGTCTCGGTCCCTTTCACGTGGATCGTGGATTCCTCTCGTTGTGACTCAGCGGGGCTTGCGTGACAGACAGACATGAGTTGTTAAAAACGAGTCGAACCTTGACTTTGGGTCGTTTCCGGAATTACGCACACCTGCGGCCCCCTCAATCGGCTCTCATGACTCATGAGCTACTGCGGGAGCCTTTGAAATGTTTTGAGGCCAGACTGATGTCATTTCATGAGGATAGTAGTGCTACAGTGAGAAAAAGGAACCGATTTTGTGTTAAAATGGGGATGTTGAACATTAATTGGACTAAATTTTGCAATTCGGAACTATAAATCCTGGCTCATCAGTGAAAACACTTATGTGTGTAGGGAAAATAATGGTACATATACGTTTTTCCTAGACTGAGCCGGGAATCATACTTCCAAATTGCAAAATGTAGTCCAATTGAACATGGCATGATATGGATTCATTGACCAAATTTTTGGGTTGAAAGTCGAAGGAAATATGGCTTATACGATGTTCTTCCTTATCACGACAGAATAGTGGCTACGGATCATCCCAGCTAAATTTTTCCCTCACCCGACGGTAGGTATTCAAAGAGGACGTTCACATTAGTACAGGGGTGCAACTGCTACAATTGGACGTATTTATGCTAAAAGGAACTATGTACATATCGTTTGCATGTAACAAAGTTCTTTTCAGCGTAAATACGTCCAGGTATTCAAAGAGGACGTTAGCATTGGTCCAGCGGTACAACTGCCATAATCGGACGTATTTATGCTAAAAGGAACTATAAGCATAGGGTTTGCGTGTAACATAGTTCCTTTTAGCACAAATACGTCCAGGTATTCAAAGAGGACGTTAACATTGGTCCAGCGGTATAACCGCCACAATTGGACGTATTTATGCTGAAAGGACCTATGTGCATAGGGTTTGCGTGTAACATAGTTCCTTTTAGCGTAAATACGTCCAGGTATTCAAAGAGGACGTTAACATTGGTACAGCGGTGCAACTGCTACAATTGGACGTATTTATTCTAAAAGGAACTATGTACATATCGTTTGCATGTAACATAGTTCCTTTTAGCACAAAAACGTCCAGGTATTCAAAGAGGACGTTAACATTGGTCCAGCAGTTGTACCGCCACAATTGGACGTATTTACGCTAAAAGGACCTATGTGCATAGGGTTTGCATGTAACATAGTTCCTTTTAACATAAATACATCCAATTTCGAAAGCCGAACATGCCCTTCCGGCTCGGGCGGGCTGCGGATTAAAAACGCGGCGAGCGGGCGTTTACGTGACGTCACGGGCGGCTCCGGTAGGTAAAACGACACGGCTATTTACCCACCGGCAGGAGCTAAATGGATTATTCCGGTGAATTATAAATACTAACATTTCCCGTTTTACATGCACCCCCGCCCGGGCCCCGCCCCCCGCGCGGCCTCGGCTAAAACGAAGCCTTTCGCGGAAACTTCCAGGCGATACATCATTTATGAGCGGTCCCTTTTCCGCGTCGGCGCTTCGCAAATAATTCGCTCGTCGCGCCGACTGCTAAGGAAAAACGCCGTATGAACCTTCAGGTGGTGCCGAATCTCCATTAATAAGGCACGAATTCCCTGTTGAAATTATGAATATTTTCTCTCCAATTTTTCAGATAATTTTCTTCGCAGTTTCGCCTGAGATTCCTGGAAATTTTAAGGAAAAATATTCATGTCTTCACTCAAAAACAAACATTTTAGTGAAAGAAATTTGGCGACTCTCTGATGTTCATACGGCTTTCTTCATTAGCACGGCAGTACTGTCGTGCTAAGGAAAAACGCCGTATGAACATTTGAGAGTTGCCGATACTTTTTCCGGATAAAACATGCATATTTGAGGAAAGTCATTCATATTTTTCCTTGAAACTTTCAGATATCGTAGGTAAAATTGCGAAGAGAATTTTCTGAAAAATTCGAAGAAAATTATTAACAATTTTCCCAGTAAATGCGTTAATTCGTAAATTCGTTTGAATATTCATACGACGTTTTTCCCCAGTATGGCGATGCAGTTTACCCTTCCGTGGATTTTAGCGGATTTTGCGACAAATCTGCCTACTTCATTTAGGCACGCGTAAGATTCTAGGAACGTCACGTCATGCTATTCCGCGAAATCATCCCGCAAATTTCCGTAATATTCTGCGGTAACGTTGGCTAGGTTCATACAGCTGCCATGATGAGGCATCATAACGTTCATTATCATCTTGATGCGTTGATGATGAGGATCTACGCAAATATTATCTGTTTAGTTAAAACCAAAACGACGAGGAATTTAGACAGCGTATTTACGAAGGTATTGGAGATCATTATGATCATACCTAACTCATGGTATGCCGTCACCATTGCGCACTATTTCGTTGTCATCTCGGAATAAAATGGAACGACCAATACTGATTTAAGTCATTGCTAATTGATATTGTGGCGGCCAATCACCGCTCACCTCTGGCGACGCAGCCCATGCTCGCCCCTGATTGGCCGACGCAGTCTCAACTACGGCTATATACATCGTGACCACACCGACTTTGGTCACTCCGCTCCCGCCAACCACACGGATCACACCTCACATCTCGCGGACAACATGCAGCCGGTCGGCTTGCCTCATTTCCAACGGCCCTGTTTAGGGCCACCACATTAGAGCACCTCTTCTGGTCTTTGGCCATAATATAATAATACGAGGTCTCCGTGAAACCACGGCATGCACTCAGGTGGAGGTGACAACTTTTTATGCTTCTGGAAATGCAAAAGCTTGGCTAATTTTAAACTCAGGAACCAAGCGTTCATTGGACTGTGCCTGTCATTCACTATTAAAATAAGCTCAAAATACGGTCCCGAGTGATTTTCGTGGCATTCATTGAAATGATAATCTACTGATACTGTGATTAAACTGATTGCAAGTGACTAGACTGCTGAATGCAACTTACTGCTCCCAAGTTGCTCTCATTGCCTATCTTGATTTTGAAGGCGGAATGGTCAGGATACATTCCCTATGATAAGAAAATTTGCTTTATCATGCACTGAGAGCAACGCTGCCCTCTGTTAATTTCGGTTCGTTTTTGATACGGCCGACGACTTTGATGCTGATTGCGTTTGTTTTTCCCGCCCAATTATCCAATTAAAATCCAAGAGGCTCATTATGTGGAAGGGCGTCGCTGTGTGTATAAAGCGTTAGTTGGAGGTCAAAAACCTACCCGAAATCAAGCGTTTGAGACCTCGTAGACTGAATCTCATCACCCATCGCCACGTGTTTTTTCAGAGTGAACTTTATTTACCTCTACACATGCACGGACAAAAAATTGCTGAAGTAACTTCCGGGATGTTAAGAATCTGCGCGACAACTCTTGAATGTTATCATCGACACTGGCTGTTAAACTAACTTCCTGTCTACGTTAAATTAACAACTGTAGCGTTCATATCAACATTCACGAGTTGTCACGCAGATTTTTGACATTTTTTGTTACTTCAGCAATTTTTTTTCCGTGTGGCATTGGTGGAAACTTCAACGAGGATTTTATGCTTGCAAGTGCTGAATGAAGGAATGGTACTCACTTTTTTCATCGACAAATATCGGGGTCCAGGAAACTTGAGACCAGTGCGGTTTCACCAGCAGGGCAAAGAGGAATCCCAAAGTGAGGGATCCCATACGGCTTTCCAGTAGCTCCGCACACGTAACACCAGAAACTCACTTCGCGAACCGAATCCCTCCCACGCAACACATCCCGACCTGTTTTTTGCGCATCCAACTCTCGCGGTTTTCGATCATCGACGGCGAATCAAGCGGAAACGCAATCGCAAAAAACAATCACCCTCAAAACTTGCTTGGCATTTGGATACCAGGCCCGAATATCACTTCTTTTTTAACTCCAAGTTCAGTTTATTGCCTGAATGCTGCTGCAATAGACGATTTAGACGAATGGTGTGGCGCGTAGGTTTCGCAGATACTGGCAAGAAATGAAGAAATTGGTGTAGCACTGTATATGAAGAGATGTGACTTCATAATCCATGAGCCCCTGAAACATAGAAGAAAAAAAATCGATTAGAAAGTGTCGTTGAAAATGACGCGAATCTGATTTCGGAGGCAAATGAGACTATAGCTCGTGATTCAGAGTTTCACCAATGTCGATTTATTTATTATTTTAAGATAGGTTTACCATGAAAATAAAAAGAATAAAAAAATGGAATTTATAGTCACTCGCAAGCAACAAACATATGAAATTGTTCAGGACTCAGAAATACATTTCAGTAAGTTGGACTTTTTTTTAGCCAACTTGCCTTAAAGATTGTATTGAGATTTTCAGTTTTATGCTGATTTTTAACGCACGTTAGCTAAAAAGTTCCAACTTTTATTTTTGTGGCCGACTAAAAAAAATCCAACTCACTGTCTTACGACTCGTGCGTCAACCACAATCAGTTTAAAATAAATTTCAACAATTCTCGTGAAAATCGCAAATTGAATTGATTTGAGACACCAAGTAAAGGAGTCTCAGAATTGATTAATCAATCCAATCAAATCACCTCACAATTTACTGACATAATGGTTTCAGAATTATAAATAAAAAGCACAAGGTATAGACCCATTCTCTGCGTGCGGGAGGCTCATGTAAACTGTACTACACTGCCGTGCCAAGGAAAATCGCCGTATGAACATTCGAGAGTTGCCAAATTTTCCTTGATAAAACATGCATTTTTGACGAAATTCATGCATATTTTTTTTTGAAATTTTCAGATATTTTAGATTAAATTGCGTACAAAATTGTCTGAAAATGTTTGAAACAAATATTCATAATTTTCCCAGTAAATTTAGTTTTTATCGAAGGAAACTTGGCAACGTCTAAAGGCTCACACGGCGTTCTTCCTTAGCACGGCAGTTCAGCTTTCGTAGCAAAATTCCACCTTTAGATTCAGCATTCGAGTGAAAGGCACGCGGTGGGAATTATGAAGGAATCGGCTGAAGTAACGAGCAGGGAGGTGTAATGGGTGGAAGTGAGGTGGGGGTGAAGGGTCGAGGTGCTTTGGGGGTGGGTCGAGTGGAAGGGGTGAGTTCCCGAGGAAACTTGTTCGCGAAGACGATCATTTATTTTTCCGCGGATCATTTTCCGCGAGGGACAATTGATTGTTGAAACCCGAAAGGCGCTATTGCTCCTTGTTTATTTATGTTTATCGCTACCACCCTTCGCCGAGGATATAAGTCTTAGTTATAGACTATTATAGCCTTTTGATGGTCTTTCAGATCTCTTCGTTTAGTTTCCTCCGTATTCATCGCACATAATTCTCGCGCCGCTGCGAGAATTTTGGTACGATGACCCAATCCATGGCGTAATACGTGCACTGGAAAAAAAAACGCAAAGGATCTAGAATCCAGACTCTTGAAAACATTGACAAGAAAAAGGACTCTTGATTCAATCAGATTTAAGCTTAAATCAAAAGGAAATCTGCTCAAATTAAGAGGCTTGGTTCTTGATTTAAGCTGAAATCTGATTGAATCAAGAGTATTTTTTCTTGTCGATGTTTTTGAGAGTCTGGACTCTAGATCCAATATGTTTTTTTCCAGTGCAGTGTGTCGTCGGCATTGGATTGCATTTTGCAAAAAGGAACCAAGGAACCAACATTCCAATGTTGCTAGGATTGTACAACAAACATTTTTTGCAATAATATTACTTCATAAAAATCCAATTTGCATGGGTAATTTTCGTCTTGAATTCATAGCAGTTTATTGAGAGTAAATATAAAACTTGTATTTGTCGAGGGCAAATAGTCAAATCAGGCATTTGGTTATATGCCTTGGCATGCAAATATTCAAATATTTTTACCTAGACTGAAATTCTGAATATTTTACAAACTGTAGACTAAATATTGTTCTGATCATGTGGGAAGGAATTCTCTGTAGAAGGCTTCATACAATAATAAATAAGTTGTTCCTAGTCCTTGATTGCACATTTATCTCAAAATACACAGCATTTAAGAAAATAAACATGTTTCACAATTTGGACAGCTGAAGAAACGTGACCGGGCAATGCAATAACAGTCTCTACTTTTATGGAAGTTTACTCTTTAAATATTGAAAATTCGAGGGGTCCCTGTGAAAACACAAGAAACCTCGTAACCTCTGAAAATTTGACTATCTGCCTAGGCATTTGATATTATGCCTGCTTCGACTATTTGCCTTCGACATATAGATGCTCAATTTACACTTGCAGCGTAAAGCAAGCTGCACAATCTTAGTGACATTGGAATGCTCCTTGTTTCTTTTTGCAAAATGCAATCCAATTTTGAAAAGGAGGTGTTGAAAGTTTAAGTTTCCACCTGTTGCCAAGAGGCCAGTAGAGGATCTCTTCGTTTCTGCTCAAAGCTTACAGTGGCGTGGCGTGCTTTGCGATATATCGATTGACGTGTCCTTTAAACCTATGGAAAAGGATCGATTAACAGGGTGTTCGCAGCGAACAGCTCAATAATCGATTCTTTAACACGGATTCAATGAGGAAATATCGATAATCGATCATTCAAGCAACGCCGCTGAAAGCTTATTCGCAGTTTCTATAAGGAATGACCCCATCGCAATAAAAGTATTCATGGTGATGTCGTTTCTTGAATTGGCGCGGAGTGGTTATAGATCTTGCGTTAACTGGTTGAAACTGTTGCGATGTTGGGAGCGGTGAAACGGTCATTGGACAATGGGCTGAGAACACGGAGATCGGTTGTACTTGACGGAGCATGTTAGAGGCTCTTGAACGCTCGAGCCCGGGCGTAATCCAATCACGCCTCTGCTTGTCGCCGGAGACTCCAATCAATCGTTGAGACCATTAGCGAAAATCGATCTCCGAGGAAAGCATGTCTAATTGTCGCGTGGAATTAGCAAATAGTGTTCTGTTCTTGTCGCAGTTGAGTGGTCAAAATTGGAGTGATGTATGAGAAGGACTCTCGCTCCCGGCGAAGGAAGCGCTCTCTCGGTGCTCCGAAATTTAGGAAAATGGAGACGTTGCATGTGTAAGGAATTTGCGGTTTGACTGTTGATTCTTATGTAAAAGTTCGTGAGAAACACGATGGCGCCACTGGTTTTCTCTGAAATCAACTCCCAAGCTCAAAAAAAGCTCTCAAGTTGAGGCTAAAATGGAGGGGATATCCCACGCTATTCTGAGAGTCCACATCTACATCAAGACAAACTCTCCATGCAAAGATAGGGAGCAAATACATTCACAGGGCTGCCACTCTATTTGGGGACTCTAAAATTGAAAACACGGCAACACTGCTCATGTATTTGCTCCCTATCTTTGCATGGAGAGCTTGTCTTGATGTAGAGGTGGACTCTCAGGATAGCGTGGCATATCTCCTCCATTTCGGCCTCAACTTGAGAGCTTTTGATGAGCTTGGCAGTTGATTTCAGAGAAAACCAGTGACACCATCGTGTTTCTCGCCAACTTTTACAAAAACATCAATAGTCAAATCGCAAATTCCTCACACATGCAACATCTCCATTGATAACAGGGACAATTTGAGGACAAGGCCCGTAAGTGCAGTTTTTGAAGAAATTGAGATATTAATGATTTCCAGTAAAACTAGTCTTAATGCATATTCTGTGAAAAATTCTCTCCCGAATTTCAACTTCTAAGCACCTTTCTTTCCGCTCTAATTATCCATGTAATTTCGAAACCTCGAACACGTATTTCTCAAGATAGCAAAAGCTGCACTTGACCTCCTAGCTCCTCATCTGAAGCAGCTGGACGCAATCAATTTTTGAAGCCCTTATTAGCTCCCAATTTTGATTAATATAATTGTAAGAGCCAAAGTTTAGTTCGGAGGTCAACTCTATTATACGGCCTAATGATGATTGATGAACAACTTGTTGAGGAAATACAGCGAGTAATGATGACTGATGAATGTCGGTGCAAGTACCTTGCCGCTGCAAGGTTCGTTGAACCAACTGCACGAATCTTTGTCAGAATTCTTCTACAGGCGAATCGAAACGTCCACTTCCGAATGACACTTTAACACTACAGGGAAGAATTCAGTATTAGGTCTCTGAACTATTCTGTCTTTGAAAGAGACCCTACATGAAAAAAGGAGATACATTTTTTTAAGATTTTTAAAGAATTTATTCGTTCGCCAATATGCCTTTTCGGCAGTGTTGTAGAGTAATTAATAGCTGCGCTTACTAAAAAAAAGGGTCTCATAACTTGTATTATGATGTTACATATCAGGCGTAGACTTCGGTAATGGCTAAGTTTCAGAAGGAGAGAAAATCTCACTGTCCATATAGGAGACTCCCTAAAATTTTCACTCCAGGAAATTGAGCTTCCCACTTAAAGAATTCAACTTCCTATTCAAGTGACTAAAGTTTTTGAGAGCCGTCCTAAGACCGAAAAGCACACTGAAAAAAATACTTCTGTTCACAGGGCTGCTGCACTTCTTCTGTAACAGTCACAGAAGCTTCGGTTATGAGGACAGAGTACTCTGTCCCCACGACCGAAGTTCTGTTCTCACAACAGAAAAATTCTGTTAGTATAACAAAAAAACTGCAGGAACCCTGTGAACAGAAGGTTCTGTCGTCAGCACCATCTATTTTTTTCTGTGTACGGTTACTCAAGGCAAAGTTAAGTTTACAGCGCATGACCGGAAATTTTGGGGTCATGCCAATCAGTTCCTGTTACTGATAATTTTCCTGACTTGATATCCAGTAAATGCGGACAGCGAAACATCTCTAGACGCCTCTAATAATTCAGTTGCTCAATGTAAGAATTTGTTCAAAAACCCTCAAAAGTTCACTCAAGGTAAAAGCACATTCGAAGCGTAATCCGTACCCGGTCTCTCATGCAAGGTCGTTAAAATTAGGTCCGCATATGAAAGAACCCTTCCGCGAGTCGCATATTAAAAGATTACCCGAAAACCCCGGAAGAAGC